ATTATCAGCTGTGTGCATGCATTCCAACACTACAATTATCCAAATCACAAGAGTCAACAACAAATTAGTCCCACTCAAAAATGTATTGATAACAAAAGGGTCCACACAGTAGATATAGTCTGTAATTATATACCACATGATGTTTCTTCTGACTCTGCACGCAAGAGCACATGCATATATACAGCAACTGCATCTCTGAAATCTAAGTAACAGTATACGTGCTTTACTATGATGCTTGGATTTTTAATCAGTTTTGTTCATTTATTTGCTAACATATAGAACAACCAAACTGCAAAGTCTCTTGATAGCCTATAACAGTGATGGCGAACCTATGGCATACGTGCCACGGGTGGCATGCAAAGATATCTCCCTTGATATCACCCTTGATATCATGAAGAGCCTCGTGGCGCAGTGGTTAAACTGCTGTACTGCAGCCAAAACTGTGCTCACGACCTGGGGTTCAAATCCCAGGTAGCCGGCTCAAGGCTGACTCAGCCTTCTATCCTTCCGAAGTTGGTCAAATGAGTACCCNNNNATGTGTAGCCTGCATAATTAACTTGTAAACCGCCCAGAGTGCTTGAAGCACTATGGGGCGGTATATAAACAGCACGCTTTGCTTTTTTAGCTTTGACACACAAGCAGAGCACTACCTCCCCCCTGCTACCCCCTGAGTTCATTCCAGTTGAACTATTTAAAATCTTAAAAGACGACACTGTTAAGGTGCTACACTCAATATGCCAGCAAGTTCGGAAAACTCAGAAGTGGCCAGAGGACTGGAAAAGATCAGTCTACATCCCAATCCCAAAGAAGGGAAGTGCCAAAGAATGCTCCAGCTACCGTACAATTGCACTCATTTCACACACTAGCAAGGCTATGCTCAAAATCCTACAAGGTAGGCTTCAGCAGTATGTGGACCGAGAACTCCCAGAAGTACAAGCTGGATTTCGAAGGGGCAGAGGAACACGAGACCAAATTGCTAACATGCACTGGATTATGGAGAAAGCCAGAGAGTTCCAGAAAAAAATATCTACTTCTGCTTCATTGACTATGCAAAAGCCTTTGACTGTGTGGACCACAGCAAACTATGGCAAGTCCTTAAAGAAATGGGAGTGCCTCACCACCTTATCTATCTCCTGAGAAATTTACACATGGGAAAGGAAGCAACAGTTAGAACTGGATATGGAACAATTCATTGGTTCAAAATTGGGAAAGGAGTATGACAAGGCTGTATATTGTCCCCCTGCTTATTTAACTTATATGCAGAATACATCATACGAATGGCTGGACTGGAGGAATCCCAAGCTGGAATTAAAATTGGCAGAAGAAATATCAATAAACTTAGATATGCAGATGATACCACTCTGATGGCAGAAAGTGAGGAGGAATTAAGGAACCTTGTAATGAGGGTGAAAGAGGAGAGCACAAAAATGGTCTGAAGTTCAACATCAAAGCCACGAAATTAAAAGACATCTGCTTCTTGGGAGGAAAGTGATAACGAACCTACACAGCATCTTACAAAGCAGAGACATCACCTTGCCAACAAAAGTCCGAATAGTCAAAGCTATGGTTTTTCCTGTAGTGATGTATGGAAGTGAGAGCTGGACTATAAAGAAGGCTGACCACCGAAGAATTGATGCTTTTGAATTGTGGTGTTGGAGGAGACTTTTGAGAGTCCTCTGGACTGCAAGGAGAACAAACCTATCCATTTTGAAGGAAATCAATCCTGAGTGCTCACTGGAAGGACAGATCCTGAAGGTGAGGCTCCAATACTTTGGCCATCTCATGAGAAGAGAAGACTCTCTGGAAAAGACTCTGATGTTGGGGATGTGTGAAGGCAGGAGAAGAAGGGGACAACAGAGGACGAGATGGTTGGACAGCATCATCGAAGCTACCAACTTGAATTTGACCCAACTCCGGGAGGCAGTGGAAGACAGGAGGGCCTGGCATGCTCTGATCCATGGGGTCACAAAGGATCAGACACAACTTAACGACGAAAAGAACAACAAAAATCTGCTTCCAAGACTTATGAGATTTCCCCCTATGCAAGTGTAAATCAGTCTCAGGATTCTAGCCATAGTGAATAACATGTCACATGCATCCTCAACTAGATACAGCAAGCAAGAAAGATATGCAGAAGCAAATTCTCATGTGTACAACTAATAAAAGATTTTATGCAGGTACGTGTGAGTTTGGCAAGTTGTTTTAAAACCTTTTTGTACAACACCGAAAGAAATGGGTTCCATTCCACAGCCAGCCTGCTTGTCAGATTTCTTCCAATCAGCTGGTCAGCAGGACAGTGTTTTAACGACGAATCAACTAATATTTGTCAATTCATCAATAAAATTTGGTGCTTCATCACTTTGTCCATTTGCCAACTTTGACTAACGACGAATCCCAACAAAGCACAACTTTTTCGATTTGTCCCCATCTCTAATCTCTATGTATGAGGCATTGTTGATTTGAGACAGTTGGTTCCTTGAGGACTAACTATGAGCAAAAAAGACTGACCTCATACTTTTTTTTTGTTCCATACTTATAGAGCTTCTTCCCTCTTTTCCTATATATATGAAACTAATTTTAAAGTGTTTTCTAAAAATTGCATTTTTGTGTAAGAGGAAGGGTGTACATCTGTTCAAGGCCTGAAAACAAGAGACACTGATTAAGACAGATGAAGAAATGTTTTGTTCTCTTTGACTGAACCGTCTGTTTTGTTTCGGATCAACCAGTTGTTCAAGGTAGCACAACCATCCTTAGACATCGTTGGTATGCAGAGTAAGAAATGAAACACATATTTTTATATTTGCGGGACAGAACTGCTGACTGACTGCTTTAAAACCAAAAAGCAACTCTAAGAACAATCACTGCCTTTGTTTTCAGAGCAGATGCCTGCAATATTTCTATCTGCTAGTCAAATTACTCTACCTGCCTTGCCTCTTTAGAACATTACAAAACAGTGCGCGCATGCACACACACACACACACACACATACAGAGGGAGGGAGGGAGAGGGAGGGAGGGAGGAAGAAAAGATACAGTAATTATGCTAGGATAAGCAAGCCTCACCAAGGGTTGGGCAAAGCTTAAAATGGCCTTTCCCTTCTCACTACCCTCTAAGTCAGATGTCCATCTTAGGGTATTGTTGTTATGCACTGTTACACTGTTTCTGACTTCTGCTGATTTTGATTTAATGTCCTTAAAATGACCTATCATTAAGAGACCTGCTTGGTTTGCAAACTGGGAGCTCTTTAACTGAGTCAAATTATCTCATGGTATGTACTGTATTCCTTTTTTCCTACTCCATTCTACTCTTCTAACATTACTGTCTTCTCCAGTGAGTCTTGTCTTCTCGGGTTATGTCCAAAGTACAACTGTTTCCTGTTTAGCCATTTAAGCTTCTAAGGAAAGTTGGCTTGATTTGACTTAGGACCCATCATTCATCTTTCTCACAGCCCATGGTATCTGTAAAGCGCTCCTCCACCTACATATCTTGAAATGATTTATTTTTCCTCCCTTATCAGCCTTCTCTATTGTCCTCATCTATATATAGCAATCACCAGGAATACTACAGTATGGATGATCTTGGCTCTGGCCTCCAGAAATACACTTTAACACTGAAAGACCTTTTCTCCTCCCTTCACAGCTGCTGCCTTCTGATTTTTTTTCACTGCAATCTGCCTCTGTTTGGATTGATGATTGAACTGAAACAAAGGGTCTTAGGTACAGACAGATTAATGCCAGTGAGGCATTCCCTCCACCATTGGGATCTTGAGTCAAAAAAAGTTTTTTTGGGGGGGAAGCAGATTCTTTTTAAATGGCCCTGGAAATATATTAGCAGCCAGTACTGCCAGGTAGATGAAGTGTTATACAATCAGTTTTTCTGGCACTTATCATCAGCCTGGTTTCTGCGTTCTTCATTATCTGCTTCTTCTGAAGCATTTTCAAAAGCACCAGCATGCACTGCACTCTGCAGTAATCTGAGATTATCACAGCAAAATGTAGATCAATGAAGCTGGTTTATCTCCTATACAGGGATGTAAACTGAGGCACCTCAATCTATCCTGTTCTTCTGGGTGATAGACACAGATACACACACACACCGCATCTTGTGAAGTCCAACCCATTTGTTTAAATGAAACTAAAACTTTGCTCCTCTATACATATAAAACTTTATGGTTCCTTTAAATTTAACTGGATAACCCATATTCCTTAAACTCAGTGAAGGACACCAAGGCCTCAATATAAATGTGACAATCTTTTCTGATGTAACCAGGACTTCTCTTTTAAGACTGCTAACCAAGTGAATCATCCACAGTGGTCTAAACATACTTCTCTAATAACAACCATATTATAAAGCAACTCTGTATCTCTGTTAACTGTGGGTATTGAATCAGTTATGCAGGTTGCAAATGAGAAGAAACCACACAGAATTTGGCCCAGATGGAAAGTTACTAGTCTAAGGGAGGCTCCAGCCATTTTCACACCATGGCTGCAAACTGCTGGAAGCAAAAGGGTTATGATGAGTAAATTGAAAACGAAGGTTAGAAAAGTGTTTTGTTTTATTTTTCCTTTCAACCATAGCTCTTGGAACCTCCTAGGTAGTTTCTGGGACCTCCAGATCACTCTTAAAATAACACAGAATGGTTTGGACCAAGTATTGCTTTCTGCCAGGATAAATTTTTCTCCCCAACCAAGCCCAGCATAGACTATGCAAAAAGAAAAACAAAAGTATTTTTCTTGGGTTCTCTTCAGAAACATTGCTTTCACTCTTTTCAGCTGGACTCACTAAGCTAATAACATGTTTAGTAAAATGAGATGAAATTTCCATTCTGCCCATTAGGCAAAGGATTTGGCTACCGAGGGCCCAACTGTCATCTGAAGACACTGTCATTTAGCTAATGAACTCAAATACCAGAATAAGGACAGTCTCAAGATATACAAGGTTCCATGTGGTCAATACGCAACGCAAAGACATGCTTTAACATGGATTAAGAGCTTGGTTACCTTGAATGCTACTATGCAATGGAGCCCAAGGAGCAGCATCACCACTGCCAAGAGAATGGTAGCAAAATTCCTCACATCCCAGATCGATTCAACCAAAGGGATGCTCCCCACCTGCCAGTCATAGCAGAGAGTAATTGGAGCCAGCAGAAGCCAGGCGTTGAAGGCCAGGAGGTAGGAATAGGTTAGAAACCTGCAAAAGGAAACAGGAAGTTCAAAAGCTGGTACCTTGCTCAAGAGGCTGGTGGGGTTCACCTGCCTAGAGCATTTTAAGCAATCTCCTATAGAGCTTGAGAAAGGTTCCTTTATGGACTATAACTCCCAATGGCCTTCTTCATTGGGTGATTCTGAGAGTCATGGTCCAAAAAGGTCACTTTTCTAAGCTTTGGCCATCTGCTGTCTGCTTGCCTGACTACCCATACCTTAACATAGTCAACAAAAGGCTTGACCATGAAACAATGCAGAAAAGGGCAGGTGAAAGAGTGTACCCCTGCCTAAGCTCACTGCAGGGAAAGCAAATTACAGATGTAACAAATGAAAATAAAAGTTGAGACTAGCAGTTTAACTCAGGCCATGACGAGATTTTCCCAGATCTTGGAAAGGTTACCCTTCTGGACCACACTAAGCAATGCTGCCTGGGTATTATACTTCAAAAAAAAAATATTTTTTCTGAGCTCAGAACCTCAACCTGAAAGGCAACTTAGAAGAGGTCCTAGGGAGGCAGACTGCACAGCAACTGGCCCTACAATTACTCTTGAGAACTACATACATAGCCAGAGGAAACAATAAGTGCTCAGCGACCCCCTCCCCTCCCTATGTCTACATGAACAACTTCATGGATTTGCCCAACACTTTTATACAGCTTAAAGTTTCTACAGAAAAGATACCCAACAGCAAACAACAGGAACACCAACCAAGTGGCTTGAAATTGCTCTGTTCTCTGTTGGCACTCCTCCTATTCCTTTCCAACTCTCTGCCAAAGGCCATGCTTTGTTTTCTCAAAGCCTAAAACACTTACTGCATGCTGGGCATAGCTAGCTGATTCTCGTCTAGGCTCATCACAACAGAAAATCACTTGGCTGTTTTGCTTGTTGTCAAAAGCTTGAAAGCTCTCATTAGATTTGCATGGTTTAGAAGGCATTCATGGTAGGGCCAAAGAGAGTGCTTATTGATTCGCTGCAAGCCCCTTTGTAAAGGCACAGATTCCATCTGCGACAGCTTTTAAGACACTAACAATCTGCAGTGCCTTCCTTGCTTTAATTGCCATGAGTAATCGTTTCTCGTTTGTGTATACCCACAAAAAGCTAGGAGTGGTTATTACAGTAGGCACTAAACTTAGAACCAAAGAATAAATTGAAAGAGTTTTTTTAAAAAACAAAACACATAATCAGTAGAATTATATGGTGCTTTTCAGGAACTAAAAATTTCAAGACGAAAACTCTGAAACTAAATTAAGATAGGAGGAAAATATATATTCATGCACATTGTAAAAGGCTGCAGCCATCTTCACAAGTTTGGCTTGCTCCAGCACCCCCTACCACTCCCCTTCTGCTCCAGCGCCCCAACGCTGCCCCTTTTCAGTCTACCGCCCCCCTGAAAAATGAAATCGCCCCCTGGGGGGCATTATCGCCCAGGTTAAGAACCACTGATTTAAAGCTTGACATTACTACAATTCTCAAAAACTTTTCCATAGAAAAATAGTTACTTTACAGTCCAAGAGTACAGAACATCAAAAGTTTGAACTTCAAATACATCATAATTCACACATCAGAATGACTCCATAACAGCGAAACCACCTTCCCCTTCCTATCTATTACTCCTTTTCCTTACTTTCAAGTAACACGTGGAGGATTTAGCTCATCTCTGGTCACACCTTATTATGCCAACAGTTTAAAACCAAATGTGAACAGAGATGATGTAATTCCTGCATATGTTAACTGAAAGTAAGGGAAAAGAGTATTGGATGGAAAGAGGAAGATTATTTCAATGGCACATTCAGACCTGTCAGTTAAGCAATTAACACCACTAGGTTTTTGCTTCACAATAAAAGGGCCTTCCCACACAATCTGGCAGGATTCAGAACTAGCATCTGAACCTCCACATTAAAATCATGGTGCTTTTGCATGTTTCCTGCCCCTGGCCTGAACATTGCACACCACCTGTATGAAGTATACCTTCAGTGGCACCTTTTTGCATGTACAAACACATACACTGGGTCTTTACAAGAATGTATCATAACTAATTGCATCAGTAGCACCCCATTCAAATTGTTCTGGCCTGAAAAAGTAGAAGCTCCTGCAAAAGCTTTGGGAGCAAAACGGGTTGGATTGATGTGGACCACCCTTTGTGTCATGCAGTCATTAAAAAAAACACTTCAGATTCACCCATTTTATAAGCGGGGGCAAATCCCATTGTATCTGACCATATAGTCGCACTCTTACATGTTAAACCTATATATGATTATCTAGGAGCAAATACCATTAATTTAACAAAATTAGCTTAGCCCCATGCAAGTCAAACAGTCAAACAAATGCAGCCCAAGTGTAAGGCAACTTTACCACAAACTTGACAAGTGGGTTCCTGCCCTAAGCTATATGGTCTACAATTATTACCTATGTTTGCAAGATTTTAAGAAAAAGAATCTAGGCAGCAGATGCTGCTGTGACATAAAAGATGCTCTCATGCAGCTAGTCTACCGCTTTCAAACTAATTATAAATACTGCTTGTGCAACCAGATTTTTCTCAAGAAAATAAAATAACCAGTCTCCTGGAACACAGCTTTGATGAAAAGTGGCAGCTTGGATATAAACACTAGGGACTTGCTTTTGAACTGTACATTGAGTTGTTTGCTTGCTTTAATCCATAGTTTATGCAGCTGCTCTCTAGCCATTTAATACATCTAATAATTGTTTCAATGTGTCATATTTCTTCCTATAAACATCTTCCATCTGAGCAACTTGATACCAAACAGCAATCGTTGGAATGGTCAAAGAGTGGTTTACTTTTTTTAAAAAAATATTCTGAATGCATTGTTGTAAAAAGATGCATTTCTTTATTTCTAATGTGTGGGGAAAGTGTTCATATGTAATTGAGTGCCAGGAAAGTTGCATATTTAGTGCCACATGAGAATTTTCTATCACCTTCAAACTTAGGACATGAATCTTGGAAAGAGAACCAGCCATTCATGTCTTAGGAAGAACACTAGCCCAACCTTCTCTCCAGCTCCTCTCAAAGGCTAGATGTCACCACAGCTATTTCGGCTTTGGATACAGCAGTTCTATAGGTGACACTGTGTTGCAGTCAAACCAGTCTCTTCCAGTCTCTTTAGCCAACATGTTCATCCCCTTCTTTGGAATAACGCCAAGGACACTCTTTTGCAGTGGCTGCGTACACCCACTAACAATAATCCATGACGTCTGGCCTTTTTAAAACACAACACAAATGAACAAGAAGCTCATGGATCCAGTCCCCTGATACTTCCCTTCATGCAAGCAAATAAACTGAGCAGGGTCACTTAATATCCCATCCAAGTAGGGGATTATGGATCATTCTGTCCAATCAAGCCTGACTTGTAAAGCAGCTTTAAATTCAGTTTGTTGTTGGCTTACCATTCCTCCTTTATTTAAGTGCAAAGGACCATAAACTTGGTTTTGGACTGGCTTGCGAACTCTTCACCATGCTGGCTGAGGGTTTATGGGTGTTATAGTCCAAAAAAAGGAGAAACTTTTCAAACCTCTGGATCTCCCATGAGATTAGAGGTGTCAAATATAACCAAAGCAATATGGGGGAAAAAAACTCATGGAGAACCAGACAATAGGGTCACTAGACCTACAGTTATTCTTGTGAACAGTACACACAGGCAGAGAAAACAGCATGGGCTGAGCTAACTATCCCATTTTTCATGTTTAAATGAACACTACACCAGTTTGCAAACTGAATAAATTTCTCCTTGATTTAAACTGAAGTTACAAATATTGGCGCAAGTGGTAATGTTTTACAGACAGTTGCATTTTCTTCCTTTAACCACTCTGCCTCTCTACTATTATATCCAGCATCAAACCTTGGAAACTCTCTTTTTTCTTTTCTTTTCTTGCTTTCTTTCTTTTTTAAATGTAAACTATATCTCCCAGAATCCTCCACCAGCACATTTGATCACAAAGATTATGGGAACTGTACTCTATATACATATATAGTTTATACAAATGTAGATAGAAATGCACACTTTCAAGCAGATGTTTAAAAACAGCCATTGCAAAGCAATGCAGAAACAGAACATCACAGATGTGAATTAATACACAGTTAATTCATGTGGACTGGATACATGATTGACCCGCATGGACTGGACGGGAATCCTCCCTACTTTGTGTAAAAGCTCTCCTATTGCAAGGCCACTTTCTGCTTGCTCCCATGCATCCCAGCCCGAAAGAAATCAGATACTGTTGAGATATACAGGCACACACACACTCTCTCAAAAGAAGCTGTTATGGTTATCTTGAAAAGATTCAGCTGACAAAAAGCCAAGTACACCAAGCACTGCAGAGACTGGAAAGGATTTGCTCCATGGATGGATTCTCTGATAGAAGTGCCTCCGAGTAAACAAACCAATACAGCTGAGATGCAGAGCCCATAAATAACAGCACCTGGTTATAATTGCAGCCCCATATGTTTTACAACATTATTATGAAGTGCCTTGTCAAGCACATTTGATTTAGAGCTGTGAAAAAGATGGAAAGAACCTCAAGCCGAAATAGCTTCAGCTGTAAATGATGAAGTGAAAAATGGTTACTTGTAATGAACAGCATTATTAATATCCTCCCAGCATTTAGGAAGTGTTAAAATTCAGCTGATTTTTTGAGAATAGACACACGGGGGTTTTTTGGGGGGGGGGGAAATGAATGGGCTATACAGACCCTGCCCCAATGTTGTTCATTTCCATCCCATCCTCTTATGTGATCCCTGAGAACGTTTGCTTTTTCTTTTCTACAGCTCCACCCCACCCCACCCCACCCATTTAATCTTGTCTGTCTGTCAGCTTTCTCTTCAGGTGGTTTCTACAAATACTCCTTCATTTTTTTTACCCTGATTGTCTTAGGCATAAACCTTGGAGTCTCAAAGCATTACGTACATCAAGCCACAGACTCAAAGCCATTATTAAAAACTCCCAGGGCGACACGATCTCACCAAAAACAATGG